CTTGAGAGAGGACAAAGGACATGGACCTTTTTCATGTTACCTCAAAATGCCCTCGTGCACTAATACCTCCTGAAAAAGTGAATATAAACTACATAACAACATTCACTTTTCTGCAACAGAAGATTCCAAGAAAAGAAGGATGAGGAACTTTGAGGAGCTTCGGACAGTTTAAGTAAACTAAGTTTGTAAAACAATGGAAAACGGGACGTTAAAAGACAATAAAACATTTTCAAGAGAATAATTCGATGATATATTCAACTTTTACTAATATTCAATAATAATAATTATGTATATTTTATATTTATAATTATAAGTATAATTCTGTCGCAAATGTACAATATTTGACAGATCGGATATTACGCGCGATTCTTGAAAATATCAGCATTTTATCTATATACTTATGTATATACGTGTACGCATCTTGTCTTATACATATATATACATATACATACATTCATATAGATTTGGGTACGCCTATGTATGTATAGGCATATACGTGTATACAGTACAATGCGTGACATATTTAATTCATCCAAATATTTTTTGCATCATCTATAAATCATTTTATCGCGTTTCTGTTATACAATTTTTACATAAGTACATTTCTACTCGTGTCCGTCGATGTCGCACGAAATGGACTACTAATGTACAATGATAAAGCTCGCCTAAATCTAAAACTGTCGTAGACTCTTGAGAGCGCACTATCCATATTCACAATTGGAAGGACACTTGCAAAATAGTTTTGCCACAGAAAGTTGTACGCGTATATTATCAGAGTCATTGTAATCTCGTCCGTCGTTGCGTTATGCGCTGATACCTCGCACGTCATTTCCGGATGCGTGATATTTTCTGATGTTATTAAAAAAAAAAACAGAAAAATGGATTCAATATTGCAAATCTTACATTGAAGAAAATAATTCGTAAAAAAGTGCATTGCAGAGTCAAACTCGCAGCATTAAAGTAATAAATTTATAAACCTCAGTGATAATAGCCACAAAATATATCTTATCTATCTCTTTTATTAATCTTTGGACATTGGAAACTGGATCGGACTTTTATTCAATCCGACATATTTTACTTAATATTAGATTAGAAAATTCTTGATACATGGAAATCGCGTTAATAGTTTTCTTATTTGTTAATTATAACAAGTATTTTTGTTAATCACTTTATTAAGTGATTCAAATAAATTTTATCAAGAAATATCAGAATTTTTACTTGTAAAAGTCAAAAGGCATCAGAAAATGTAATGGCCCAAGATCGACCTATTTTCGCCATCCGTATTATTTTCGCTATGAGAAGTAATCACTAGTGGGAATGATTGATGAAACAACCTACGCAAGATTTTCATATAGTATCGACAGTATAAGAGTTGTTATTGAATATGTTGGATATTAAATATTAATCTAATTGTAAGAATTAATATTAAAATATAGAGAATAATCTATCGCATATATCTTTCTTTTGATATTTTGTATTTAATACATGATATCGCGTTAACATTACGAGAGTATATTTTAATTAATAATAAAACAAATTGCGTAGTATTATGCTTTTTCTCATTCGTTTCTCAGACTGAAAATTGTTGCATGAAGCATGATTGCCGGTTTAGTTTTGCTCTGCGAATTTGTTACAAACACATAAGAAATCTATACTGTTAGGTTTAAATTAATTTTTTCCCTTTAAATTCCCAATGAAAAAGAATATTATATTAATCATAATTTGTATAATTATCACTGAAATCGTCTTTCTTCTTTATTTTTACAACTATTTACATTTGTGAATATCATATCTACATACAGTGCTGGCGTATTTTTACGTAATAAAGCTTGTTTTAGTAAAATAAGCGAACAATAAAATTTTTTTAAATTAATTATTTAAATTAATCTGTGTTTTAAAGAAAATCCATTATGGATTTTGCATTAAGGAACTACATAAATTATGGAGTAAAAAGTTTGTTGGTGCAGTATATTTTATGTTGTCACAAGTTTTGTTCATGAAAATATAAGAATATTAAAATTTTATTTGTTAAAGATCATTTCGATAGATATGTACAAATTATTATGCTATTAAAATAGTATATTTACTGCAATAGCAAAATGTACTTGTTATTAAAGAATTATTTTGATTCACAGCAAATTTTTCTCCTTACATATGTAAAAACTGAGAATTTAAAAATCAATTTCGGCACAAATTATGAACGTTAATCTCATTTATTAAATTTATTTATCAGATTAATCGTTAATGCTGCAAATTTTTTTGAGAATTTGATCGTTTCTAAGCGAAGAATGTATATAGATTGGACGCATGCAAAAGTGAATGGGTAACACGTACGTTCTCATTATTTCGTTGCGAAACTTTAAGACAATTTTAGAGAGTGACTTCGGATTGCTGTTCGCAAAAGAAACGCGTCGCACACTTCCAAATACAACGTTTGCCTCGCGCAAACCGCTCGGCATAGTGTCATAGGTATCATAGTATGCCGTATTCTTTAGAATTCAGCATACCTTTCCACGCGTGAGAATAAATCTTATACTAAATAGGATTTTTTAAAATAAATATCTTAATAATAATCAATAACAGTATATGTATCTTACAATACGCGATAATGCTATCGTTAACTATCTGTATGTTATTACGCATTCGAATCACAGGAAAGTAAAACAAAAATTTCATCCGGATAAAGATTGCGACAAGTTCTCCAACAGCAGCACGTCGCACACGTGGACGAGAATCTAATGTTATCATCCTGCATACGAGAGCGTGTTTACGATTTATCTTCACTAGTTGTTCCGCTTAAATCGCTAGATTCTATATAGTATATTATGATGAATATACACGAGAATTGTAAATCCTAAGTTGTCAAAAGCACGATCGCGCTCTACGGATCAAATTACGGATTATTCATTTATATCTTACGTGTAATATCGGCGTGATCACGGCCGAACTCGATTAGATGGAGCATAGAAAACTGTTTACAATAGCGACAGCTAGAAGGCAGAAACGAACTTCAGATGTACGGTCCCACTTTTTACCCACGTTTATACAAACTAGCATCGGCAGGCTGGGTGTCTACGTGTAAAACGTCATCTTTCAATAATGTACGCATAAAATATCCGAATTATTCCTCACGTGTTTTTTGTTTCTGATGCATTACGTTACATCCTAATAAAAAACGACATTGCCCCTTTACTTTTTGCCCATTTAATCGTGGGCTTTATTAATCGGGAGCTTGTCAAAATAGTGCAGTTTCAAACGTGTGCCGAGTTTTTTTGTTTTATGTATTAACACGTTTTCCATAACTGTGGCAAGGTCATAGGACAGATATATTTTACACGTAGAACGAATATATACATAAGATGTCCAGCGCTGATTCGAGCATGACTCGAGAGGAAAAGACTCGTGGAGAATATTTCGTCAAAAAGGAAAGGGATACAACAAAGATGATGTATCTCCTAAATTCATTTTTGCCCTAGCGCATACTAGTATATAGGCACATGATCCACAAAAATGCGCGCATTTAGAAAAGATACGCCAATCATTCAGATCTACCCACGATCGTAGAGCTCTAGACGAGATTTGCAAGAATTATCGGTGCTGTTTTATACTTTATATATAATAGCGCGATGTGTCGATTGAATTAAACTAGTCCGTTGGACGTCGGCGATAAGAGAATATATATATATATATATATATTCATCTTTATATATATGTATGTATATGTATATAATGTATACATATAATATGTCTTTCTGTGTAATTAAAAATACTCTTAGAAGCCGCTCGATTTTTAAGAAAGTCGCTAAATCTATCCTCACTGTATATATTTACATAATAATATGTATATGTATAAGAGGTGATAGATATATAAAGTGCGATAGAACCGCCTGGTAAAGAACGATCTCCCGCCCGCGAAAAACTGGCCGTTAATCGATCGACCCAAAACCGCGAATCGCGAGGCTACGCGAATTCGCCTATCTGAAATTATTAACGTTGTATTGCTCGTCTCGTTTAGATCTAGTTTTGGCAGTCGAGAAATCATAAGACCTGCGACTATTCCTCGCGTGTAGTTTCATCGTCCTTTCTCGAATCGTTCGATCAATCTAATTTAACGAAAAAATTGTTAGATTGCTCGTCTGAGAGTTCTGTGCTGCGTCGCGGTTCACGGCTTTGATCCTAAACAAAAGAGTTTTACGAGTCACGCGCGGGATTCAAGATCATAGTGCACGTCTCCGATCTTAAAATGTTTCATAAGTAATGTACAAAATATAAATTGTATTTGTATGCGAGAGTCTCTACACGATATATATACACTTCCTTTTTACCTCATCTCCATTCTAGTGGGCGTATCCTTAATAATTCGTTAAAACATTCTCCGCAAAACTCACGCGTGTATCGAAGACTAATATTACGGATACGTATTATATTGCATATCGCGGATTTTCGAAGCAGCACGGAGCATCTAAATTTCTACATAGACGTATTGTTCTTCAGGAACAAGCGCTGCAGGCAAGTGCAATCGGGCAATGCCATAAAAAAAAAGAAAAGAAAAGAGGATGGAGAATTCGTACATGATCTCGAAGTATCTATATTTGTGCTAGGCCGAAGAATAAAATCGGGATGCAAATAAATCGAGAGAGCTCGCGCTCGCGAAATCGAAACTGGAAACACTTCGCGAGCGACGGTTCTGAACTGGTTCTACTTTTGCGGAACTTCCGTGTCGAGAATCGAAAACAGAAAATAGAACTCGAAATCCAATAGATCCTGCAGAACCGTTGGAATCGCTTTGGGAGCCGATAAGCGGTTCCGCCGCTTGACGAACGATCAGCCGATCGTCAGAAGGCCGATCGACAGTCTAGGAGTTTTATTAAAATCTGCTCTAGGAAGTTCAGTGTTGCTTATTGTTCCTCCTTATTACTTCTAGTTGGCCCGAGTGATGTTCCCATTTGCGTTTACCCATTCTTTCGGCGAACTGAAAAGATGGAACAGAGTTGAGATTCTTTTTTTTTTCTTCCTGACGACAACATTAATCTTCGCGCCGTCAATGAATAATGTAGGAGCGTTCTTCGCGCTCTTCCTTTGATACTTTCGTCCCCGTTCAACGAAATATCATTTTGCGCGTACAGCAACCGCGAACTACGGTTTCTATGGCTTGGCTCCGCGTCTGATTCATTTATCGTTGATTCGATTATCCATCCTGTGCGTTTGACTTCGTCGTTTGCGTTTACGCTTAAGGACAACGTTGAAGACAACGCCTCGAGTCAACAACGTCTCCTCTGAAGGAGATATCATTTCTCCCGCTAATGAGAGACACACGATGGCAATGGCAGTGATGGCGACGATCGTAATTCCATCGATTGTAATTATTCCAAGATCGAGGATGTAGATTGGATCTCTGTGCAGCTACACATGGAATTACAAAGATCGCCGAAGTTGCCAATACCAATAGCGATCTGCTTCGACGCCGCGATTTCCAGCGTCTTCCGAGATTGCAGTCTCTCGAGAATCGAATGGAATCGAATAGCACGCGCAATAATATTTGTACTTTCCGGGCATGCTCGGGACAGCACTATCGGACGCGTGCCATCTCTCACGTTAAGAACCCTCGCTGAACATATTTGGCGTCACTGTAGTTATGGTAACGCGAGGTAGAATCCGTGGGAACGCGGGTCGTAAAACTGTTTGCACGAGTTCGCCGGGGGCTCTCTGTTACACGTCGTCCTCTATACTACGCAGGGGTATCTGCTGTTTCTGCGCTACCGCATTTAATACATACACCAACTGATCCAGCTTCTTGTCCATCACCGATAGCTGAAAACAGAAAATTTTCGTATCGTTGCATTCGAAAATTCCCGTCGAGAGAAAGTTTACGTTTCGATTTATGTGTAATATATCTACTCGAAAAGATAATAGAAAAAAAATTTTTTTAATTTCTCATGCATTTTTATTAAGGTAAATAAAAGCATTTTTTAATACACATTAAAATAAATTTAATTATTATTAAAAAGACAGAATTTTTCTTCTTTTCTCTTATACTTTCAACGGGATTATATTTTAAGCAATTAATTTCGTTATTAGTTTTTCTCGTACGGAAGTTAGCTACGGCGAATGTAATCTCATTCGCATTCTTCGTTATTTGTGCATTTTTTCTTTTGGGTTAGGGAAATCTGGGAGTCGAAAGAATAATTAATAGGGAAAGATTTGCATTGCATGGAAATTTTTTCGTGAAGAAACAAGAAGAATAAAGAAAATCTAAAAAATTATTTAATAGAAAATTACGCAAATATGAATATAATTCTATTGTGACTTTATTGTAAATCAATAAGCTAATTTGCAATTTTTTCTAAATATGTATTTTAAAAAAATTTCATTATATAGTTCAACAAAAAAATAGCTTCTTTCCAAGCTCAAGAAATTGAGACCAATTACTTTTTAAAGCAAAATATAATTCTGGTCTTCAAAATTGCATTAGACTGTTGAGAAATTTGAGATTAAAGTTGAAAAAAGACTATTTCAGCGTACTTTATAATGTTACAACTTTAGTGTGTTGGAAAGGTTTTATTCTATTTTAACAAAGTTAAGTAGATTGTTAAAACTTTCAATTCACAAAAAGAGTTATGAAAATTAATAAAATTTTTTTATTAAATATCGGATCTCTGCATCTCGTAAAAGTGGACAATTAAGCCATTGAGAAACACAGAAAATTTACACACGAACATTTCCCAAACATTTATTCAAGCTTAAAAAGAATCACTGAATTTAATGCAAATTTAACGATCTCAATTTGATAAAATTGATATACAGAATAACAAAATTTTAGATTTTTCAAAAATTCATAATATTATATAAAGAGTTTTCAAGTTATTAAATATAAATCCAAAATTATAGATTAACGAATATCATGTGATGGAATCAAATGTACAGGAAATTGTCCCTGGTCGTTAAAATGGCTTAATTCAAAACCTTCCTGCGATATGTAATAAACTCAATATTTTAACTTAATATCGCGAGAATCTTATTAATTTTAATCTCCGCAATAAACTTCTTTTAAAGAGATTGAAATTTCTAATAATATACTTAATTTTTTGAAAGGTATAAAATCTTTTTCTAATATACCGCTTACTTGAGTATGGAAAATTATGTTAAAAAAAAGTTTTACTTCTTTTTTACAGTTTTAATTTCAAATTTCTCAAAAATTACGCTAGTACTTTGGTGATAAAATTTATATTAAACATCAAAAGAGCTAAAAAATGTATTTCTTTTTTCTTTGGAACCTTTTTTAAACTGTATTACTTGCATGTTTCCTTTTTATACTCATAAAGTTATGGGAATAATAAATAATAAATTCGTAAATGTAATTTTTGAAAAATGTGAATTTGGAAGTAAATTATTCAGTTATATATTCCTCCGCAAATATGAAAGCAGATTCACACACGCGTTAAGCTACGCGCGTTTACGAATTAGGACAGTTAGATATTCATAAAAGTAACATTACGGTAATTAATGCGAATGACGCACCTGCTGCTCCACTCGGTATAAACGCGCGCCAATCGTCATGGGTTTTACGTTGCCTGCCCGGTCGATTCCCGCCAGGTAGCTCCCCGGTTTACCCAGGGTCTGATCCAATCTCCTCTGCAACTCCTGCGGACAAATCGAACGTGCAATCAATCGCTCGTAAATCCATATCCAAGCTACGCCGAAAAACACAGTGATCGACGAGACCATTGCAGCGCAAACGTGAAAAGAGAAATCATTATTATTCGCTATTAATATTTCATATTGTCAGTTAATATTGCTTTACACCTCCCTCGGCTTTTTGTTTCTCGCAACAATCGTTTCTGCAACCCGGTGCAGTTCGATAGTTAAAATAACAGAGTGAATTCGCGAAATTATCGCAATTCTTGCACCTCTGTTTAGATAAAGCGATAGACGTAGCGAAATTAGACGTAAAAGGCGGCTCGGTATTTCGAGATTGAAATCAACGCGGCGCTATAATTAAGCAATGCGCAAATGAGCATTGTTGCGCTTAAACCAGCAGAGTTGGAAATTTCGTCAGCAAGACTCGCTACGAAGCACCAGGAGCTCGAGGATGTTATCGATCTCCTCGATACATAATAGAACCCTATATTCGCTCGTCGCAAAGTACCGAAGCTTCTTCGGCAAACAAGAGACAGTGTGCTCACAGAAGTTGGGTTTACCGTGATTGACGTTTTGTCTTTGCTAGCTTTTTAATGTCGTCATTCTTCCCGCAGCAATCATTGAACGGTAGAAAACGCATTATTATTTGCAATGAGTGCAAATAAATGTCAGCGGTAAACATCATTTAATTTAATATTAATTGGTAAATATGTCACATTAAATAAACGGATAAAATTATCTGATATGATATACTGAACTGTTTAAAATCGTAAATGTATTTATGTTTAAAGTTTTTATATTACATTACAGTACATCATGCGTACAATTAAAAGATGAAAAGATGTCGATGAGAATCAATTTGAAACAAACATCATAAAAAGCACAAAAACAAGAATTTATTACACATTTATTTTTAAGTTTATCTTATTCTATTTTGGAACGATAAGTAGTTTTTGCCCTATGATTCTGCAACTACATCTTCCGACTCAATATACATACAGAATATATAATATATATATATATATATATATATATATCCCGAAAATGTCCTAAAATTCATATGTTGAGATATTAAATGACTTCAAATGTACATGCGATCGATTTTTAACGTCCGATGAGTATAGATGTAATCAGTGTATTATAACCATGGCACCATTCGCCGATTAATAGACGTCTGTTTTGCGCCATGTACTAACACAACCGACAGTTACATTGTTCCGTGAACACCGACATACTCTTCGATATTACGCGTCGCACCAATCGTTGGCGATCGCGCACGATTAAACTCAGAACCGAGATTCGCTATATGCGATCACTTAGTAATCTGTCAAATAAGAGCAATTACCGCGAAGGATAGATTTATCCTGTCGTATCTCATTTACTCATTACACGACAAATGATTCGGAACGATTTGTCAAGATTCGTCTTGCGTTCTCTAAAATAACCGGCTGTCTCCATTGAATGATAATCTTCGAGATGGTAGATGTACATACATTCAGGCTGGAGGATCGACTCACCTTAATCCGCACCATCATGTTTAGATGACCTTGGCTATACTGCTCGATGACGTCACGAACGTCGTATGGTTTCCGAGCCTGTTGAAACTTTCTGCGAGCCACGAAGTACTTGATCTTCCTGATCGCTCGAATAGCGTTCCGGTGCGCCTCTGTCAACCTAAAAAGCGACAACATGCAAAATGTAGACTGACAAATTGCAACAGGAAAAGGATACATCACTCATCTCTCCGTTTTTATTTTTAGCACGTGCAAATGCAAAATATCATTAAAAATATGCTCTAAAGTGAGAATGTTAGCTTTTATCGCAATTGAAATATTAACATTGATCGACATTCGATCACGAGCCACTTTGTTGTAGCGGCGGTTTCAAATTGGCTTGATTCAATTTAGAGAAGAGAAATCGATTCCTCCTCGAGTTGCGATCTTGCGCTAACTTAATTTTCCTGGCCGATCACAAGGCGGCAAGACACAACTAGATACAGCTTGTTTCCCTTTCATCGTTAGAAATAACTGATAAAGATTGCAACGTTGAATCTCTTTAATGTAAATTGCATGAAGTATAAAGATACACTGCACGTTCAAAGCTACTTGCAAAAGCATTAAAACGTTTTAACCGTTTCTCTCTGTTAGGCTAACCATGTACATAGAAAATAAATAAGTTTAATAACTTTCGAGATAAAGCAATGCTCAGAGATAAAGAAAGACATCATCACGTCAATAAAGCTGTCCCTTTCGTAATCTGTAGCGCGCGAAATAATTGTTACACGAGTTGGAAAATTGATTCGTGTCAAACACAATATTACATATATGTCAATATTCATCTCGGATTACAGGCTGTCCTACGTATATTGACCAAAATATTGGTCTTATTCTCTCCCGACTCTTGCGCTATATCTTTTCGACCCTACGGCGCGGCATGGCGCTTTACCGAAGAGCGGAGGAGAATGCTCTCGTGAAGAGCGCTCATTCTTCAGGTGTTTACATCCAAGAATGCTTAGCTCCTTGGCAGCTGATGCTTTTGTCGTAAGTGTAAATGTGAGATAGAGTGTTTCATACAATGGCAAAATGTTGTGAGGAACGTCTACAAAGTATCACGATGGAAAATTCGATCGCCACTAAGAAAAGCCAGTAATAAATATAGACCGATAAAAAAAGATGGATTTATTTTACTTTGAGAAATAAATCATTTTATTTTTTAATAATTACCATATCATATATACTGCTTACATACATTATTATATTTAGTACAAATATTGTTTTACGATTAAAAGAAAATTTTTGTATGTATCTTTATTTAAAAAGTAGAAAACATTCTTTCAATCTTAATTTAATTCAAAAAGACCAAACAAAACGATATGAATTAAGATAATATAGCTTATTCAAATAATAATTCGAATAATTATATTATTAAAGAAAAAACTACGCAAATATGTAGAAGTAACAAAATATGCAAAAGTTTTTATCCTTTTATATTTAATCTTTTTGAGATAAAAAATCGGATAATAAAATTTTATTGTTATTGTTTCTAAATCTAAACTAACGGAAAAAATTGCAGGAAAATAAAAATCACAAAAATTCAATATACTAACAAAAGCACATTCGGTGTAACTTGTACAGTAACCAATAACAATAAAAAGCGAAAATATAGCAAATAGGTAACAGGATGAAAATAGAGGGGAACGAAACACGTGGGAAAGGGCTAAAGAATCTAATTTCACGTTGTGGGACGCGTTAAAATGTTTTTAAAATTGAAACGAACGTGGTCGGCGATGAGATATCCAAACGAGATGCTTTCTGGTTGGCAAGCATAAAGAAAGCCTCGGGCGGAAGTAGGTGAACCGCGAGAGCGAAAGGAGTTGAGTGAAGATGGAAGGGAAAAATCTGGCAAGTGTCTTTATGTACAAGTTTCGAGCGTGAACGGGCGGGCACGTTCGACGCCGCGAAATCTGGGTCATTCGTACCGGCGCGGCGCGCGGCGCGCGGCGCCAAGTAATGGCGCGGTGCGGAAAAAGCACTCACGAGTCCGCGCGAGTGTACGAAAAGGGTCTTTTGTGCGAAATACCGTGCGTTCCATTCGCGCCCGCAGAACCGGCTCTCTTCGAAATGTCAATGGCGCGAAAAGCTGGCGAAAGGCCTCCCTCATCTCTCATCGCCTCTCTTTTGCGGACTTGAGTGCAATGTGCGATGAATATATATATATATATATATATATTTCTTTTTTTTTTGCCGCGACGAAATGCCGATAATATATATGTATGTATCCTAGCGTTTAATTGATGTTCGCGAATGCGTTTTTCATTTTTAACAAATTGGAAAATCGAGCAGATTCTATCGCATTGAAAATATCTATTGCTCCGCGACATTAAAAAACAGTTGAATTATCTTGTAAAAACATATTCTACTGGAAAATGAAACAGAGATAGTAAATATAGATGCAATGCCGCTCTTGAAATGGATTATAATTTAATTACTTGTTTGTGCGATTAGTCGTGTTCGATATAATGTATTAAAATAAAAAATATATACAATACATATACGTACATACGTACTTTAGGTTATATTCAATACTCTCTATTTTTCATTTTTCTCTTGACAATCATTCAACTGGAAGTGATTGATAATAGATGGTGGAAATTGAAAAATGCGAATGCGAAAGCGCGATGAAAATGACAATCAGATTACCAAGGCTACCAAGTTGCAAGATATTTCTCCGGCGATATTACAGATCAAACTCCCGTGCACGTTCGATTCTCCTTTCAAAGGACCGGAATTCGAGCCTCAGTGTAAGCTCAAGCGCTGAGCGGATGCATGAAGAGAAACTACAGGATTTTCACGAAATTAAATTTCGTTGAGGAATAGAAGAATATTCTAGCGGAGCCCGCACGGAGTGCGCGCCTAACGATCTATACAATATTTATCCGTATATTATGATACGGGGTATGCGCGAGGTACAGGAAAATTCCTCGGTGCTATCGATTCCGCATACAAAGTAGAAGTAATTTGCATGGAGATATACGTTCCTCGACTTCCTATACTCTGATTTCGGTCGGCGCGATCTAACTCCGATGCACACGCGAAACGGGCGTTTAATAACTCGACGATCGACCACCACGGCAACGGCGGTAAATTCGAGGGTTGTTTCAGAAGTTACCAAACAGATCGTAAATCTTCGTACGTTTCAATTAATATGTATCTCAACGGATAGGACGCGTAAAAAGTATCGGTATCATATGATACTTACGTGGTTACTCTCTGCGGTTCTTCGATATCGATGTCAATTTCATCGCTGGTCGCCTCCGTCACCGAACTCGTCTGCGAGGTGAAGAGGCTTCCCCTGCCAACCGGAAACACGCTACGTCAAACTACGGGCTCGCGGATCTCGTTCTTTCGACGTGACGAGATTGCTCCGAAGGAAGACGCTCTTTGGACACAGGCTGACGTACATATGTCTATCAAGGCAATTTTTCCAAATCGCTGCTTATACAATTTCGCGAGAATCGCTTTAGCAACGTCAATCGCATATTTTATAAATCACGAACTTTTATTTAATCTTTTTAGTTAAGACATTACAGAAATATTTAGGTAAGAGGCATTCTCTTCGAAATTATCACTAACGCGTCTAGCAAACATTTGAAATTTTCGATGCGTAATGCACCTGGTACTGAAACTTCCGACTTGTACGCAACTTATGACTTCTGAGAATCTTTCTCCAGAGCAATTTGCTAAATACGCATCCCTTGTCAACAGAGAGAAATACCATTGGGAAGAACTACATCGGCACAAATAAGAAATAGCTATATAAACAGAGAGTTTACACTCTGTTTCGAAGCAATGCATTAGGATAACATCACATAAATTCTGAACTCGCATTAATCAAATGCAGATTGCAGAGAACAGTTTATTTTGCGCAATATAACGTTGCACTTTATCAAGATTCTATATGCACGCAGAGATTTCTTATGTTTAATTTAAATAATACGTTAGGACAGATAATACAGTAGTTAATAGTTTCAATAATTTCAATTTCTTCGATATATCGCCAATTTGCATGCTTCGGAAATTCGCAATTCTTCATGGACAAATTACATTTATCATCTGATCTTCCATCTATATCTTCCATCAATTTTCGAACATGTCAATAATTGAAAACTGATGGAAGCTATCAAATAATATTTGTATGTAATATGTCAATGATATGCCTCGTGAAATTACCGTTATATCAGTATTATTTGGAAATTCGTGATTCGTTCTTCGGCAAATATAACCTGATATCTTCAATTAATTCTCGAACATGTCGATAATTAATGTACAAACATCAAATAATATTTGTATATTGACATACAAACATGAAGTGATATTTACATATAATTTAAAGATATAAGAATTGCAATTTTCCGTTTGTTAATGATCTGTGCTGGCTGTACTTCAATCGTTTGGTCTGCGAGTATGGTGTAAATTAGAATTTTCAATATATTGAAACGTAATATATAATCTAAATGGATTACTAAGGATTTATTTTGCTCGAAATTTAACTACTTATATTAGATCGCGTAACACTTTCCGTAACAGCATCCGAATAAATTTTGATTTTAGTAAAAAACTGATATTAATTTCTAAATTATCGAAAAACAAGCAAGCAATTTTTAGAGAGAATTAATATGTTATTTGATTGGATGTGTAACTTGAGAAATTTTATACGAATTTAAAATGATAATTGTAGAAGACTCTTGGCGCATTAACGAATGTATTTTTGCCTTTGAGGATTAGCACTCAATTACTCGTACACATTCAGAAAGTCACCAGGACACTTCGTATCGTATACACTTTTCACTCAATGCCACTCGACCGTGGCAGTACTTGGAAATAAGCTCGCCAATTTTATGGTACCAGTTTCGTCTCCTCACCGTCGCATTTACTGAGCTGAAAGGTGAGTCTTCTGAGCGAATCTTCCACTCGAAGAAACGGACAGAGATACGTTAAAAGCGACGATGTGAAACTCTTCACGCTGTTACGAATTTTGTACGTGAAATTAATATATTATATATGCCATTCAATGTAACGCAAACAAGGCTGTTCAGAGTTGAAATAATTTTATTCGTTATTTTGCATAATATCCCAATGCATATATATATCTCTTCAACATGAAAATTTTTAAAATATCGCTTACCGATTGTCACGTCTGGCACGGTTCGGCGTGCCCACCTTAGGTTCCTCCATGTAAAAAACCACATCGCCTTCGTTTTCGAGACGTTGATTGTCGTTTTGGCCAGTCCCGGCACCGGCTGATATGCCGCCCGATATCGTGACGGGCGGCAAGGCCGGTTGTTGCTGCTGCTGCTGCTGCTGCTGCTGGACGTCCATCCGATTCCGCGACTTCCGCCTCTTCAGCACACTCGCCTTTTTTGCCACCTGGATCATCAGAGACTGAACCCCCGGTGCCCTCCCATTACAACACACATCGAACACAACATGCACTATCCCTACTGGCCAGACATTCGGCCCCTTTCTCTCTCTCTCTCTCTGTATCTCTTTATCTATCTTTCTCAAAACGACGAGCCCATCATTCCCATCAACATCATCATCATCATTCGAGGAATATGATGCACAAGCGACGATCTCTCCCGCGGGAACAAAAGCATTTTGCGGAAAATTACGTCAGTCGCGAGCTGATGTCGTTTATGGCAGATTTTCATCGCGCAAAAATAATTCGATACAATTCGCACATCGTGAAATGCTCAGGAAATAGTACTGATTATATATTGCACAATTTGATCGAGTATTTTTTTAAGAATGTCCTATGGTTACAAAGTAAAGACCGGAAAATGAGAAGAAAACCATGCATTTTGTATTTACGTGTATTATAATACACGACGTTCTTAAAAAAAATACTCGATCAAATCGTGCTAGTACCGATGTAAATGTTCTCTGCGGGTTCTACGCGCGTTTTACTCAAGAAACCTTTTTTTTTTTAAACGCATTCGCGTAAACATTTTAAAAGTAATTTCTTAATGTTAAAAAAATCTTAAGCATCTCCTGACCTTCCGAAATCTCCACGTTTTTCATAATACCGTATATTTTTCATAAAGAGAATTGTCAAGCCGCACGACCGACGTAAATTCCCATTTTTATATCGCGAATTCGCAGACGAGATTTCAAGTCCTCTAAGATGCGGAGACAAGAAGTAACACGTAGACATACACACATATATGTACAGTCAGAAACGTTATACGTAATTCAGGCTCATGCATGTTACAAAATATTTCTAAGTAAGATGAAGTTACTTTTCACGTAAGACTGATCGCTAACTTTAGAGAGGAAGAATACATAGAGTGCAAGAATACATAAGCTAAAGATACAAAGACGCAAACACCATCAAATAGACGATTATATTGTTTCTTCATAAGCAAACTTTAAGAAGCTTACGCAAAGCCTCGTTCGTTCGAGAAGAAGTAACTTGTACGAACGCGCAGGTAGATCGCCTCGTTAGTTCAAAAAAGAAAAGAAAACAAAAAATTCAGTAGTATTTCATTCATCCTTAGTGAGTATTTGTAGTTTCGACGTTAAAAAAAAACGTCGAGCAACGGTCTCTCGAATAGATAAAAGTTTATACATCTTCGAAGCTAAAAAGCGGCGTAATGATTTCGTAAAAGTTGTTCTTATTTCTTTTTTTTACTTGGAAATTGAGAAATCTTTGGCAACAACGAATATTCACAGATTCATACTTCCGACGCAAATTTAAACCTCAAGATATAACATAAATTTCTTATCGTACTAAGTTTTCGAGTAATAATGAATAATTCAATGAATTGACCACGTCATTTTTTTCAGCTATTGTTCACAAAGAAGCAGTAAAACATCTTATTTTAATTTTAATCCTACACTGTCCGGAATAAAAAAAGTACCGAATGAAAAAGTAAAAATATTTTTCAATAAAAAAAAAATTTGTTATATGACAAGAAAAGGAAAGTAACAAGTATTTTTGGATATTATTTGAATAATTTCGTATACATATAATAGTAAATCGATATTACTTTTAAGGGTTAAATACTATATATGACCTGCACGCAAGTGTGACCTGCACGCTGGAACATTTGCGCAAAGGCTCAGACTTAAAATTGACTGTCTTCATTACAACTAAACGTGCAGCGAGAGAGTACGGTTCTTGCGATAGCATTGAATATGTCTTTCAATATACGTATATTCTACATTCAGCAGACATCGTGAGTACAGTGATCCCGACTTACATAATAAAAAAGATAAGACGTTTCACGTCGTGTAACAGAAACGTGTAAAGAAATGTGATAAAAAGTTTAGAAAAAAATAAACATGCAAAAGAGAGTAAGAATGGAAATAAATAGAAACCATTTACATACCATCTTCTTTACACAAATCAACTGAAATATATTTAAGGTATATTTTATCATCGTTAAATCTCATTACTGAGCGTTCCTACTACCTCAAATATTGTAAAATTGATGCTCGCGCCTGTACGCGGTTTTAAGAGAAATGAGGACTTTGAAAATTTTGGCAGCAGATGCAAACTGGAGATACCATTCCTACGAAAACAACTGCTTCGTTAATCGAGAATACGCGAAATGTGCCAATAAACTACTTTATCCCATATTCGATGTTTTGTACGAATTTTCTTAAGATTTGAATTTATTAGCAAACTACCGTAGTAATGGTGAAAATATGTCTTGAGCATATTCATATATTTTCTAATTAATCGACAAATTTTTATGACAAATTATTATGACTTGATTCACGGATAAAAATATAATAAATATACCGACGATAATAATCGCAAGCAAATAGAAATAAAACACAGCCCCGTACTGAAAAATCAAGCGCAATTCTAAAAATACCGCGTTCGTTATTTGATTCGTGTTCAAAAGCAATTTATTTGAGGATGACAACTATTGGAGTTTTCAAGTGATAATGTTCGAAATACAGATTTAATAAAAAAAAAAGAAGTAATATTACAAAGATAGAAATGCTGATGATAAAATCCATTGACTGACTTTCCATGAAATTTGTATCTACGTAAAACGATGAGCCAGTTGAAACAATAACGTTAACAATTTATGTGGTAATTGTATGAAGTCCGAATGCGTAACTATAATATGCGAATGCAAAAAGTTTTGCATTCCATGGAACCGCGATAATTTCATGTGAAAAAAGTTTACCTTTAAAAACAGATGTAACATAAATGTAAAAGTATTTTGATGGATATCTGCATACAATTTATGTGCTCAGCATTCCAACTAATGAACAATATTATCGAAACTATAGGGAATATACATATGTATATATTCAAAGAGTAAAACCAGTCCGTTAACAAACATTTCGTTAAAGACAGGTTGTCCACGATATGTACTATAATTAATAAAATCAAATTGAACTAACGAAAAACTAAAGCGCAACTTTCATTACCTCGTATGTAAGGGGGGATAATGTACAGAAGCCTTTAGCGCATCTTTAATTGCATAAACACACGTGACTAGCAACATAAAGGAGGAAACAAAATCGTTCGGATTTCGGCGGTAAATAACGGCACATTGAAAACATTGAGCAAAAATTCGCATTCTCCGCTTGCATCCATCCACTGCCAAATATTATCATCAATTATCATCGGACAAGTAATGTAAAAGTATAGGGCCGTTATAATTATCGCTATTATACGATACTAGAATTTACTAAGGTGGTAAATAATTCATGAAAAATAATATTAGACGGTGGAACTTTCTCGCGAATCTCATCCTTATGCGTAAAACTCAGAAGTTTTTTTGGGAGGGTCTGACTGCGTAAAAGTAAATATTTAGCTTTAATTTCATTTAACAAATGTAATAATCTCATTTTCTTGATAACTCGGTATTTAAGTATCTATATTTAAATTTAAGATTCGACAATTCATAAACTGATTAAAATATTATTTACTTATATCAACTAAAATTAATTAGAAATATAAATATCAATTATAACCAACGAAAAATATTTCGTTACTTTTGATTAAAAAAGGAAGATTTCTATTGTACTATACGATTCCAATCAAATTATTGAATTTTGATTTTAGAAACGTAAAGCTCAATGCATTCGCTTTTCTACTTCCTTTTAATGAAACATTCGATAATTTATAGTTTCAGTTTTAAGAAATAATCTTTATCGTATGCTATTATATGCTTTCGAGCTGCCTCACGATCATTCGCGTGGCAGATCGACACAAGGCAAATTTGATTTCTCGCAATCCGCTTAGAGCATAACGATGAAGTCCCCTGCGACTCGGCAGTATTAGTCGACAATTCGCTCGCGCGTGGAAATGCAATCGCGGTAAAAGTCGAGATCTTGGCAGCAATTAACTCGGATATGATATCATGGGTAATTCCAGATCCATTAGCGTGCTCGGCTGCGCGCGCGCATCGACCGAATCGCGAACAAGATTACCCCGGCGAGGGTGGGGGACGTTAGTGTGGAAAACGGGGAAAGAAGTAAATTTTTCGCGTGTTTCAATAGGGTAATTACGAGATTCGCGAGACGGATTAGCATCCATCTCGGCGCGGCACAGTAATCGCTCGCGGCACGGTCAGTCAGAACGTCCAAGAACATTGTATAAGCAGCTAAGAACATCAACAATCAACAGCTAAATACGGCTACTGCGCTCCGATTTTCGCTAAACTCGCAAATGGGAAACGTTACCTTGCCCAAGGGCGTCGAAGGTTGGCCAGCCGGTGCCGGATCCTTGATGTAGATATTCCACGTAGCAACACTGTTGATGGCCTTATCGGCAGCGTAACACCTCCACAGACACTGTATCAACATCGCGGCAGCTGGTATTTGCCGATTGAAGTGCTTTTGCCGTTGCTTCTGTTGTACTTTCAGTGCGAAGCCGGAACCGAGAATACCCTGAAAAAGAAATGCGAAAACACCGGTTCACGAAGCACGATAACAGAGTTTGGTCGCGTTCAATTGTTTGGATTTCTCGTGCAAAAGCAGACAATTCGCCACAAAAACAAAATTGAAATTCAAGTTCTCCGATCAATATTTCCTTTACAAAAATGTCTTGGAATAAATTGTAGCTTACAATTAGTTATAAGCGAGATCCAAGATAGAATCGCTTTCAAGAAACTTATAAATTTAAATTTAAAAAGAAACGAATAGTAAAATTATTTCTTGATTAATTTTAAATAAATTTGATTAAGCTTGAACTTGAAGTGTAATTATAAAGATATTACAAGAGATGAATTTATATTAATCAAAAAGTCTATACACGCGAGAAATAGCTATTTATATATAAGTTTTATACAAAACATTTTATATGTATATTGCAAAAGAAAGAGAGAAGAATATTTTTTATAATAATATACTCACAGCTGGAAGTGCAAAAAAAGAAATGGCAAATACGCTAAAACACGAGGCCACTATTTTTCCCATCCATGTTTGCGGGACTGTATCACCGTAACCTATCGTCGTTACTGTAATCTGTAATACCGAAAAACATCAAATATTCCTGATGTGCACCGAATTATTTCGTACGAGCGCACAATGTGCGCATTTTTAATGATAGTTATTTATTTGTTTATTTTTATTGTAAACATAAGTTATATACTTATGTATAATGAAGGATTCAAACGAAAGATGATCAGTGGTATCAGTATAAATTAGAAAACATGATTCGTTAAGATAATTAATAACGAGAGATAGACTCACCACTCCCCACCAAAGCGCATCGGCGTAACTCGAGAAGTCCGTTTTACCGTCGGGTCCAACTGCATCTTTTTCGGCAAGATAAACGAAATAACTGCTAAAAATAAGGCCTAGGAATCCAATGTACAGTGTTGTAATTAACTCCTGTTAAACAATAAAAATAAAAATATTTTTCAGCTGTTGATCAAAATTTTATAAGTATAGTATTATAGAAATTGTGTTATAAGGGAGCGTCCATTAATTACGTGAGTGTTATTTTCGGTATTTCGGACCTCCCCCCGCTACCCCCTATGTGAGTCTCCATGAGTATTTTTATTACTCCTCCCCTCCACCCCCCACTCCCCTCTGGATCTCACGTGAGTTTTTGAACATATTCAATATATGAACAAAAAATACATATATCGGACTAGTACACTATAGCTTGGCCAGACTTTCGCTAGGGACTCTAGCAAAAACTTACGTGAGACGTCCTTTGACATCCTCCCCTCCCCCATATGAGCACAGTGTAGACTGCAGAGATTTCGCTGACCCTTCTCCCCCCCCCCCCAAAAATACTCACGTAATTAACGGATGGCCCCTAAGCATTCTCATCCCCAATGGGCGTATGTGCGTATACTTGTTTGCTTAGAGACAGTTAAAATCATTGCTAAGGCTTCTTGTACAATCGAAAATTTTCGATATTTTTGCAATAATTAATAACATACCTGTCGATGTATGAAAACCACCGAACCAAGAAGCCGCCACGTGCCACCTTGACGGTCGACATGAAGCATTCGCAAAATCTGCAAAAACCGAATGCCTCTGATGGCAGAAGTCGCGAATACCTGACCGTTGCTTCCTACCGACAGGACTACCATGGACGCTACTACGACGATTAAATCTGAAAAGAACGAATGAGAAAAGTGCTGTGCGATCAATAGAAAGGAAGCATAATCATGATAGATCCGAACGTATCTAATACCTATATATATGTCGTTATATAAATAGTTATATAGTAGTTTTATGTTGCATCGATTAAAATACAACACACACATACATACACATATATCATACATATCTAATGTATATAACATATACAATATTTATTCTAATATGTGTATGTGTATGTGTGTAATAAAATAAATATTTTTGGCTATTAATTAAGTATGTATAGGCTATATTGATCATCGATTGTAATCGATAAACACAAAGCGCGTAATCCGATTAATGCCTCATCCAACGTTATCATTTATTTGCAAAATTTGTCGACAGTGCACCTTGTTAACGGTTAAAAACAGCTCTTTTTCCATCTGTATGCTGCGAAATTATTGGAATAGATATAATCTCAGTCGCAATTCCGCGGTTGGTGTGTTAATAATAATGCTTCATTTTCTACGTTGTGGACATTTACTATTTTGCTTTTATAGACGAAATGAAATGTAATACGCGGTATTCTCGATTATTTCAGATAACTGTTGAAGAAGAGGAATACGCAGATCATCGAAAAACATAAATAATTCGGCAGGTATTATTTACCACACGACCTGCGATAAACACGATGTAAAATCGGCTCGAAAACGCAACTAAATTCAAACGTATTGATTTACGCAAATTGCGGATATACACGAATACGCACGATTATTAGAATACGAAAGAGAAAATTTAAATAGCAAAGATCTTGTTGTGAACATATTTTGAATAATCTACAAGCATGGATAATTAAATACATGTGGAATCGATTTGAGCAGCAGTTTTTTTTCAAATATATTATCTTTTTGAGTAATATTTGAAAAAAAAACGCCGATTTTATTCTTTCTGTTTTCGCTATTAAATCTTGTGTATTTATCGTAAATGTAATTACAAGTTTGCAAAATAGGAGCCAGATAATCAATTTTAGGCGAATCTTCAATCAAGGGAGAAATTTTGCCGCAAACCGTTCGCATATGTTTCATTTGTGAAACGCGTCCGACAGAACGATGACCGCGATACAAAGCACCGGCAATCTTGATTTTAGTAAAATGGATTCGACATTAGGGCCAGAGCTTAATATCACAAAGTTAGTCGGTAGCGACGGTCACAAATGATCCCATGTACAAGCGTTTTCCAAAACAAAGAGACAATTGTCACGATCTTATTTTGCGCTGGTCAATCGGACAATGCAAAAATATCTGATTAATTTTGATAGTGTCGCATTTTGCCCGTGTCGCGAATTGTCATTAGGAGAAAACGAGCGGCAAAACTCACCTATAATACAAATCGGTTTCCGTATGAATCGCAGTCGTCCACAGCAGCCCATGTACTTCGATCTGCAGCCTGCGCTCCATAATCGAACGAGATATTCGACTCCGAAGAATACCACGAGACATATTTCCTGGAATGTAACCAAGTGTAATTGATCTCTCGGCCTTTTAACTTAACTGATACTAATTGAATGCATAACAATCTAGTAATTATGACACAATCGGTAATTATTCAGCATCAGTGGGGAAAATATATCGGAATAGTTCTGTAGAATGATATGGACATTAGCTAATCATTTCTAAAATGCATATGCAACGAATGCGCGGTAGCATATGGATGTGATAGTGTGGCTCTTGTATCGATTATACTAACGCCGTTGTATGAACGGGATGCCCTAGAAAAACGAGGACGTCAATGTTAGAATCGCAATGAAGTGGGCAAAATCCTTGAGAACTGGCTTATACTATATTCTTTTATGATCCCAGGACATTGACGAGCTTTGTATTTTATTCGCGTTTATTTTCTTCGCGTTCGCGTGAGAACAGGTGAGAAAGCAAAGCAGGTTCGCGAGCAAAGATTTTTACAATATCGATTATCAATTCATGAACAACATTAACTTTATACCGATAGTCTGCATAATTTGTCGCGTAAACTTTCGCGAAGGTAAATTTTTTTCCCTCTTTAAATGCTATAAAAGACGAGAGGAAGAATTAATTTTATTTGTGCAGCCTGACGGTGACGGAACAAGAGAAAAAGTTTTTCGTCGGAAACTGTTGTAAAGTCTATTCTCGGACGAACCAAAGCGAACAAATCTAAAGTATTCTTTTCGGGGACTAATTAAATAAGAAAGTTTGCTTAAACTTTCTTACGTTTTGAAATCTTTGTTTATGAATTTCTAATCATTGTCAGTATTTAACGTTTCACGCTTTGTGATCAGTGGTATGCCGTCAGATGCAATTAATTCTTCTCTCAAAACAAAACACTAAATTTGGATTTTAAACTTTAATATAAAAATAATACATTCATAGAGGCAGAAATACACAAATATAAGCGATATAACAAATATAGGAAAATTGAAAGTTTGTTACAAGAACTGAAAAAAAAATTTGCAGAAATGTTTAAACTGAAATAAAACTTTTATTAAGCTAATTTTCATAAAAGCACAAAGATTATAGAAATTGAATTTAGAAATTGAATATAGAAAAAAATTGTCAAATTGTGATTTAATAATAATTTAATATTGCCTCCATGTTAAGAAAAAAAATTCCTCTTCAAATTGGTTGAAGGACTTTAAATAAGAAGTATTTCGTTACATCTTTTTCTTTTCATCGATGCAAAGAAAAGTACAATCGATGCGGTTGCGACTTAATCTAGCAGTTCTGCAGTATTTCTTTAAATAGTGTTATTGACATTATTCGACCCAGAGATGCTTTTAATATCCTGTCCAGTTATGCACTACGTATTATTGCACTTAATAATGAATACGGGCTACTCACCATCCAAAACAGAGTTTCGTTTGCAAAGTTACTGTATTGATCTATCGTTGACAAAACGCTAAATATGAGGCACACCAATACCACCATGAACCTGAAAATAAATTTATTCCAATATAGCATATAATATATAAACAAATCAATCAGAAGTTCTGTTATAAAATTCCAATCAGATGATTGATTAGATGGATTCATTAGAAGCGCAGAATGTCATATATTAAAATCAGATTTACATCTAAAGCGACTTTAAAGTCTTAATCTATATTAACTCTATATTACGTGAGCCCCCCCCCCCACACACACACACATACACGCACACACACAGATCAAAACTTGATTTCATCATAAAATTGTGCCCGGACGAGTGACTTGATTTATTAAAAGCATTGATTGTCGTACGTTACAATCAGATCCACATTTAAAATGATTTTAGATTCTTTATTAAAAAATATATTAATCTTTTAAATATTTTGCTCATACGCTTGTAATAATTAGTAAAAAAATGAAGTTAATGCTTCTGAATTAGAGAGTTTACTTTTCTTTAGTTTTAAAATCTTTAAATAAATATAAAAAAATTTGATTTCTCACGCAAATAAGTGCGATACAATTACAGTGGCATATAATATTGAAGACAATCTTACAATTAGCAATAAAAAAGGAACGGAAGGAAAGCAGTAATTTTGGGGCATATTATATATCATGTTGCGTAATGTAAAATTCGTATTAATAAATGAATTCATTAATGATAATCCAGATCAGTGTATCAAATCTGCCTAGCAATTATAATATCTTTAGTAATTATAATACAAACGCTTAAATCATCGATATTATACAACAAATTCAATATATTATAGCGTAATAAATACCAATGATTGAAATGTGATATAAATTATATTATTATTGACTATATATTACGTATATTATATATTGACCATATATGGCGTTTCAGTTTGTGCGTCAGCTAAAACTTTGTTTTAATTTCGATACTAGGAATTATAAAAGTGCTGCTAAGCTTACCTGTATTCTTCCACTAGAACAAACTATTCGTTAAACTACTGTCACCTAAGTCTAATCAAAACTGACAAATTACTTGACAAACTATCTACACAGGCGTGATACACTAGACATATACTCTATGTTACTGATTACCGATGTTGCAAAGTGTAACTTTATACTTAAACTTATAAGAGAACATTATCGAGATGTATATATAACAGTCTGTGGTGCCTATCGATCAAGGTCGTGTATATTCCGCGACGATTGAATGTAAAAATATTCATAGACAATGTGTGCGATAATTTTGCTATTATCTTATCTAATGAATAAATTTACTATAAAAGCTGCGAAAGCCACCAATTTTTCAAGCAAAATGGTAAAATTTATCGGAAATTCAATATTAGATGCTATATACATGCATAGAAATATATATATAATTACATTATATATTAATATAAATCCCGTATCAGAAAAACTTTCCATAAATAAACGTAAAAGGTAATTTTATAAAAAAAAAATATATATATATATATACATACACATATTGAGGTTTAATAAAAGATATATTATACCGTCAAAAGTTCAACGTTAAAAAATCATTTCAATAAATAATCTCTATGAGCAATATATTCTATATCGTTTGCAATTTTTTGTAAATTTTAACTACAAATTCCTAGAAACACATATTTTTAAATATGATCTTTGATGTATTTCACTGCGTATGCACAAACGTGTATTTACTGTATTGTATATTTTATCATTCGTATGTTTAATAATAAAATATAATCTCCGTGCAATAAGATTTGAGGTCGCGCATAATATCGGATTCCGATTGCAAATGCAGAGTTTCACGAGTGTGTTCGTGATAAAAATTACGACATTCATATATGTATATACTTAATTGAGATTCACTTGCACGCTAGCCCTTAATGTGCAAAAATTTGCTTTTCATCTTCTCGATCAATTTTTTAAATGTTTATTGCAAATCTTAATCTATCTGCTTATCGACGCGGTGCGTCGCATGAATTAACGACGTAGAAAGAAAGAAAGAAAGAAAAAAATGACGTGAGACAGCAAAGCAAACCCCGTGTATGCGAGGGCATGAACGGGACCGGTAATTGCTACGATCTGACGAATCGATCGTAGCGGCGCTTTCGTTGTTTGTACAAGTAATTTATTATTGAGCGTTACCTCGTTAAGTAACGGGACGAGCGCGCGGCATTAACGAAAGCGCGCGGCCTCCGTGTAGTAGCTCTTTAAGATAGCGTGTCGAGGGCCTATAATTCCGACGTATGTACAGCGCTTCGTGGCTGCACGGGTCACCTTCATCGACCTACTATGATAATTGTCTAACATATTCCTCCTTTTTTCCCCGAGCATCGCTAAGAACTCATCCATCTTCCGCCGCGGGCGTCGCGTCGGACAGACATCTCGCTACTCGCGGATAGCTTTTTGTTTGGCCGTGGAAATGCCAAAGTCACGGGAATGTCCGTTAAATAAAACGCAAAATAACTATTCAACCTCGTTGAGACTTGGAGAATCCCCACTTATTTTATACAATATAACTCTTTTACTAGATTGCTAGATTTACTGATTTACTAGATTTACTAAATTGCTTTGTACGTGTAATAAAATTGGTATAAAAGGATATTTTATTCCAGAACATTTGTGTAAATCATAGAAAAAAATTATCTGAGAACTTCTTAATTCTTCAGATATCTTCGATTCAAATTTTTAGAAATAAATTGTAGCATTTTTAAAAATAAATTTAATTATTATCTGAATTTTTTGGTTCTTCTTTTAAAACGAAGCAAAACTTGACATAGTACTATCTGTGAGAAAAAAAGAACATTTTTGAAGCAACAGTTTAAAAATAAAAATCTTTGAATTATGACAAATTTCTGCAAATAAATTCTTCAAGTAGAAAGAGATTCTCGGAAAATTCTAAATTTTTATAGATAGCAATTTTCGCATTTCGCATTTAATCGTTTGGGGATACTCCGTATACGAAGAAATAATATTTTGAAAAAAAAAAAACAGAATTTATTGTAGGATATTTTAAAGTGGAAAGCCGAGGCAATGAAATCTAATTATTATATCAATATTACTACGTGTACACGTCGACGGACGATGCCAACGGATGTTGTTTACGACTAAAGATGTATAAAATGATTGAGCGTGTACATCCATTGTGCAGCCCCTGTGTATCAATTAACCTACATGCGATCAAGAGAAGATAGAACGTGCGTGTGTGGTTCCTACAGTAATAATGTCACGTTGTGTCGCATCATTTATTCATATTCAACAGCGGTTTAATTACAAATGGATCTCCAAGGGCTCGAAACAACGTAAACTTCTCGATATTTCGATCGCATTTCGAATCGCTCGATATGCGCGAATAAGTATCTGTACATTAATCATTCTCTTGGAAATTGAATTTGCGTTTGCACGCGTGCTGCACTGTATCTCTAAATAATAAAACAAATTAATTGACAAAGAATGAAATTGTAATTAATTGATGAAGGAAATAAATAATACAATATTATCACACAAGATTGATGCATGTAATTCCCCCGTCGTTCCCCGGCAAATAGAAAGAAAAAGGGAAAATCAAAGATAATAACTTTTCGTTGAAAATCAATCACGGCCGTTTAAGCAACTTTGTGAAATGACCCCGTATTTTATATTATTGTAAATAGGCTTGCAAATGTCGCGCGTGTCTGACGTTCAATTTAGCGTCTACGCAATTTAGTCGTGATTTCCTGATCGCTTGATTTCACTCTCACAATCAGATTCCCGCTTTCTGATCGCGCGTTTGAATTACTAAAAAATTTAGTAACGACCTTCCATAGCACAATATGTAATCTCCATGGGCATCATTATATATCGCGATATCGATATATCAGCTTGCGCGCGTGTAATTCATCTAAAAATAACAGGCCACACGCAAATAGCTTGCATATGCATTGGGCCTAACAACACGCTGCTATTTACGCCCGTTTGAAAGTAGGCCAGTCGAATTAGAATTACCTCCGTTAACAGAGCAAATTTCTTTTATCGTTTAACACAACTACGCATAGGATAATACGCTTACGTCACATTTAACCGGCATTTGAAACTTACGATAATTGCATTTTCCGGAAAACAATTATTTAATTCTGCAAAACTGCAACGATGAAAGCTAAAATTAAAGATTTACATTAAATTAATGTAAAAAACATCCGTTTTAAATGTGATATAATTTTAAAATAATACAAATTCTCTAATTCGTTCTTAATCATTTTTCTGAAAAATTTATTATTTTATTGTATATAGTTATTGAATTAAACAAAAGGAAAATTATAATACAAAAGAAAGAAATTCTTTAAAGAGAAATTCAATGACCAAAATTTACACTCGCTATGTTTTCAGCTTCAACTCGATATGCAGCTAATGTAAACGGATTCCACTACAGAATCACTCGAGACTGAATGACTCTTATCCCTCTCTCGCTGTTATCCTCTTTCCCCGATCACACACATTGACATCGGGTTAGTAATAGTAGTGATAATAGATAATAACGGGTAGCGCGCGCCGATCAATAGGATTACTCCAGCAATTAAATATTTTATAGCGGCGTTTCGTGCAGCGCGACTTCATTAGTCGGCCATCTAACGATTGTATAAACGACGCGGCATTAAAATTGCACGAAAACCATTATTCGCCATGCAATGATCATGCAATGATTGTACGCAAATGATTGTACGAGTTTACGAAAAATTTGAAAATTTCCTTCTTCATACTGCCGAATATTGGAAAGAAAAGATTATAAGTTTCAGAATTATATTTCGTGAGAAACACTGTTGTGAGATGTAGCGATATTTTGTAAAATTATTTTCAAATATCGATGGAATCTACAAATATGCACATTTCAAAATTTGATTGCCAAAAATTAAAATAAAATATATGGTGCAGCTAAAAAGGCTAAAAAGATCTTTATAAAGTAATCGCTAGCTATTTCAATAATTTAATCATTAGTTTTTAGAATACTGCTCTTAAAGTTAAGATATTAAACACGAAACAAACGAAAATGGAAAAAAATATACAACTGTACGGGAAATAATTGTAAAAACAGATTATGTGGATATTTTCAGTATAAAGAAAAATAGATATACGTTTCTGGAAATGAATAGTGCATTCGACTTGACGGCAGTAACATCGGGCGCAAAATGAAAGACGCTTCCGTGGCAATTTCCGATTGTAGCGTTTTAACTTTCGCGTCATCAAAAATTCGATAGCGCGACATATTATCAAGAAATCCTGCGTGGTATATAACAAGACATAAATGTATCTTATCACACATACGGCTATTCCGTAACGCGAAGATATCTCGGATTCCAGAGACATATAAGAAATATAGCAACTATACTCTAACAAGAAAATTTTTTATTTATTAATAAACATAAAATGTTCCATTTCTTGCACATTATATCTTTATTATTCTGATTCTTACAAAAAAAAATGAGTCCAAGTTGACTGAAGAATCTGATGTTAAGGCGTTAGTGGCAGAATACTGTGTATAAGACATAAAACAAAAAAAAACAACTGAATGAAATTTTAATGGTTTAAATTTATCGCTTAGTCAATCATTCGTCCAAAATCAAACGAAAATAGACGGAAAGCGTCGGCGAGATAAAAAAAAGCGAGAGAACTTACATATATTTGCGACGATCGATTTGTTTCGCGGATACGTTACCGCGTTTTGTTTTGATAATGAATTATTTAAAAGGTTGCGGGGTGCTTGGCGACAGTTTGAAAGAAATGAAAAACAGCCTATTGAATAATGCACGAATTCGCCAAGTTTTTCAATGGATGATGCTTGCCGGAGCAATAGATGTAGACTACTTCGCCGGCCGATATATACCTTTACATGACACGAGGCCGAAACACAATAAATGTGTATGTAATGCAGTTTATTCTAATGTTTTCCTATACATGAATATACTCACTTGTATGATGTAAGAAAAATATAAATGTCGAAGAAAATTGGCTAAATTAATGAATAAACGAATAAAGACAACTAAATCATAATACAAACTCTCTAGCAATTAATATGATATAATTTCATAAAACAAATTTCATATATAAGTAATGAGGATCAAAGCAAGTTATCGAAGCAATATAAATAGTCTAAATTTATAGAAATAGAAGCATAAATATTAATTTCAAGGAGAACTTCCTAATAAAAATGAATCGATTTTATCGGTCTTATCGCAATGAAAAGACATTTTCATATACCTACAGTCACGAATATGTTTATTCCTGTATAAAAGTTATTCCGTATTACGTTCTCCGAATATTCAAATGCGAAAATACTATGTAGGATTTTTTCTTCCACGTTTTGCATTTCAAAAAATTTTAAACTGACTTGTTTGTGTTTTTCAATAGAATATATTATAAAACTACGTAAATATATACGTATATATATATATATACATTTTTCCACTATCTATATATATATATATATATACACTGCTAAAGTCTTCGGACAATCGTGTAAATTCGTGTTTTTACAAATTGTTCGTAAGAAACATCGGAGACCGCGTTAATTGCAGAATGTAAAAAATAATCTTCAACAAATTCTGTTCAAACGACAATGAATACTCACACAGCGATATGGTAGACAAAACACAGCCAGCCGCCGGGATGTTCGAGGAATACGTAGAGGCGCTCCTGAAAGGTCTTGCCCCTCTTATGATGGAACACGTACTTGGCCTTGAAGGCCTGATCGATCGGCAGGTAGATCGGATAGTAAGGATCGGGCATGCCGGTCTGATCGGGACTCGGCGGCTCCTCCTCGGCGCCGGCCACGTCATTGTCATCAATGATATCCTCCTTGCTCTTCTTGCGCCGGTATTTCCGCTTCATGGGTGTCGGCACCCGCTTGTGATGCGCCTCGCCGAAGCGCGGCGAGCGGAAGCGACGTAAGAAAGTGAAACGACGTGCGGGTGAAGGCGGCTCCTCCGCGTTCGCGCCGTTATCTTCGAGACCTGTGTCCTCGGTCTCGCTGCCGGGCGTCTTCAACGCGATGTTCTCCGCCTCGAGACCCTGCTCGGCCACGAGCTCGTCCTCGCTACCCTGGAGGGCAGCGTAGGCGGTCGCGGGGCTGCACCGTTTTTCGGCGTGCCTAGAGCATTGGTCCTTGCTTCGTGGAAGACTCTCGTTGTCACCTGGGCATTTCCAGGATTGACATTGGGGCCAAATTTAAAAGTCAGAGATTGCGCCGCGTGATTGAATGCCGCGATCATTGCTCGATCCTTGAGGCTGAGAGTAACGCGATTGAAAATATGTCTTTTTTTCTCATTCAAATTGAGAATTGTTCCATTAAATCCTCGCGCGTCGCGAAACAGAAACTTTAACTCTGTTAGGTATATATAATATAATAATATTATTCACAACGTTCACATCATGTTTCGCGAGCGGGCCGGTGGATAATTCGATTTCGTGATTTTACGTTTTCGAGATGGTTGCCAATGAGAGAATTCAATTGATGAATCGCGGGATCGGAATCGTTGACAATAAATACATAGATCCAGTCATCGTGCGGAGATTATTCAAATATTTGACGCGGCCAGACTGAAGCATTTGCAATTCTAACCACTGGAGAACCGCGGAATAATATCCTATCACATAATACGCGCATGAAAATCCGCCTGCGATCGAGAAGCTTATTTACGAAATAGGATCGATAATAACATCTGTTATTAAATACGCACCTCTGAATAAAACATTTTAAAGAATGACGGGAAAATTACCGAGATTTAAACAAAATTTTGGTTAAAGTCCATTAATTCTGCAGTTATATTAAGTCAACTTTTTAAATTTGTCTTTTATTACAAAAAAACAACATTTTTAGATCTATAAAAATTTACGTGTAATTAAATATTTTTATGTCTTTTTCTTAAATAAAATTTATGCTATACATGGATGCCAGGATAATAATGATCTTATCACAGTTGTGATAATTTTTAAGTTTAACGTTTAACATTTCATGGCCGCAAAAAGATGCGCTCGTTTTAACAGATGAAGCAGCAAGCGTGATTACCGCAACTATATATATAGTTCCAAGTTTTCGCTCAGCTTTTTTGAAATGAATAACTCGCTGTGGAAGTTCTTTTAATTCCCCAATGACAACGGAGGAAGATTGAAAAACCGAGTAGATCGTCTCGAAAAGGAGCGCAAATGCGCCATTTGATTGCCATGTTTTGCACGAAAAACAGAAAAAATGCATTAATATTGAAGAGAAGCCAGTCGCGATTAACATTGATGTCTCTAAGGTGAAGAAACGAAACATCGCGTTGTACATATGTGTTTTTCTCACGTCTTTCCACATTATGATTGTCGTACTGTATCGGCAACTGTATATAAGTAGCCTCTGTACAAAGGTCAATGGCGCACGCATACTTTAATCGATCTTATAAATATTAAAGGGCTTTATATAGCAAAAAAATTTCATATTCAGAAAATATTTATATCATTAGTTATTTAGTCTTGAATAAAACATCGACTTTGTCTTGAGTCAAAAAAGTCATTTTTTTTTTTTAGGAAAAGTTTAACTATCTAAAATATATTTTTGATTGTTTTCGGTCCTCGTGAAAATCGAAAAAAGTTCAACACACTACCCATGGATTACTAATGATTACACGCAAAATATTACCGCGCATTAGTGTAGTGCGTTATAACATAATATCTATCCATGTATGCGACAGGATGCAGGAGAGCAGAATTATCGGAAAGGTGGAACAATGGAAACCACAAATCCGACTCGCACGCTTGTACATTAACGCGAATGAATTGTCCACAGAGCTCTATTTAAAGGCGTCCACCTTTCTCACCGTTCCTCTCTTCCTCTCAGACGACGAGATATTAAAACTCCGTCACATGAATGGATCCAACCGCACCGCGAATCGAGCCTCGAGTATCGAGCGAAGAAACACTTTCATCTCTTCCTCTCTCTTTCTCTCTCTCTCTCTCTCTCTCTCTCTCTCTCTCTCTCTTTCTCTTCCTCTCTCTCTCTGGTCGAACAGAAATCGGGCTTCGCAATTCTACCTCTCAGTTAAACCGCGCGAATTCACGAGCTATGCGAATTCTCGTTTCCGGCCGGAAAGGATGTATCTAATATTCGTCCGTCACGCGCAAAAATATATGTATTCGTGTTGCATATGTCGTTTTAATCGCTTTTTCTTTCTCATTTTACACGCATTTTGCAACAAACATATTTCATTCATATTGCTACATGACGTTTTCTTTAATTAAAAGAATGCATAAATTAACACCTTGGAATGCGCACGAGTTCTCTTTGGCGAGAAAAGCTTCTGAAAGAAATACAATTTTTATACGATTCTCAAGTTACTTTTATAAACAGCACAAAATCGTTAATATATGTATATACTAGAAAATGTAAAAAATAATTATATTAAAATGCATTGCTATATAAATATATATAAACTTCTTTTATTTTATGACAAATTTAATCTTTCAGTCTTAATTTCTCTTTTTACGACATGGAAGAGAAAAGATTTAAAACTCCGATTTATATTCCATCTATATAATTTAATAATTTTGCCAATTATTCTGTATTCTGTTAACTTTAAACATATTTTAACTAATTCTTTACTTCCTCTCAGATCGCAGAATTGACTGGAATTTAAACAGAGAGAGAGAGCTTCAGTTAATCACGGTCGACTCGCTAAACCACGTTAACAAAACACCCGACAAACCGTGGTATAAATATTCCATGACGTGCAACAAATGAAACGTGACCCAGTACAACGGTTATCCACGTCACGCTCATTCGCGAGATTACTGTTAGGGCTCGTGCGATAACAAATATATATGTATAATGAATACGAATCACGCTGACAACGAGGAGAACGACGCTACAGTTTCGTATACCTGAATAACTGCACCTCTTATTATTTGGATGACCTTGGCAATTAAAGTGACCCTGGGTGTGCGACTGATACGGATGTCGACATTGTCGTTGCTGTTGCTGCTGCTGCTGCTGCTGCTGCTGCTGCTGCTGCTGATTTATTGGCGACTTGAGAACACTCAAAACGAGGTCCTCGCGGGAAGGTACGATCCGCGTGATCTGCCGGCTTTGCCGGAAGAGAGTCTCCTGCTCGCCGCGATTCATCCTACAGCCAAGACGACGACGTTGGAGATAAAATCCTGGATACCACTCACGTCTCCCCCGTCCTGGACCGCTACCTAGCATAACCGCGTGCAGCATCCCGGCTTCAACTTTCCGGTTACAATCGATGAGCGGCTCCTTGTCTGCCGGATGATTGTCCGATCACGCAGCTTGTCCATGGTCTCCGAAATCACGAGTCACCGAAATCCGTGTTCACACGACAACGATCGTTCTCGGAATATGAAATATCGCGTAGCACTATATCAGTTAGAAGTTTAATCTTCCTCGATCTTCGCAGTACGTCGTTCCTTGGTGTGAGCTTGGGACAATGGTAGAGAATTTATTTTGCCTGTCTTATATCTCGCGTTAGAATTTTCGTCGCCGTCGGTACGACAGAAGAAGAGAAATTCAATCCGTCGTGATCCTATTACCTTCCCTTTCGCAAGAGAGATTATTCCCTCACGGCACGGATACTATCAATAGAATTATCCGACCTGGTCGTCGTCGCCGGAATTGTTGATTGCATTTAAGACGTAGCGCGACATATGATTCTGTATTTGTCATTGTTAATTGTCATTGTCGGAAGTGTTCTTTAAAGTTCTCGATATTTCGAAGAACGATACGGATGAACTTCCGATCAGCGGACATTGAATTGTCTTTGCCTTTCCCACGTTTGTGCTCTCATTATTGCCACCTGTCGTACAATTCCACGTCTTTCTAATCGACGCCTTCCGTAAGTCTCATGAATCACCACGCTTCCCTCATTGATTCTGCTCAATGGCTTCACAAGATGAATCGATCCTCGTAACAGAATCATCCATGTTTACCAAAGCTTCCGAGAAACGTGGAACGATCGTGCGGATATCAGATGCGGGTACGACTCGAGATACGGCCAGGTCATGCATAATGTTCGTAATGTGACGCGAGCCGATGAAACTTCTCAGGCAACTCGGAGGGGAGAATTTGGATGTGCGCCGTAGACAAGAGGAAAGAAGAAACAGTAGCGGAGAAAGAGAAAGAAAGAGTGAGAGATAAAGGATAGGAGGATAGAAAGTTGAGAAGAGAGGCGGACAAGAGGGTGAGAGAAACTTGGAAATATCCTCGTTCTGGTCCTCGGAAGATGGATGTCGAACGCGAGCAGGCTGCTGGGACCTCGCAATCGATCTTATCTACGAAATTCCTTCGAGTATTTATTCGGACTAATACGGTAATGAAATTCCGTCTTCTCGCGATTCCCTCGAGTCTCTTTTCTCCATTCGAGAAATGTCTCTCTTTCTCCGCTCTGTACGCGGATAATCGTTGCTCAAGCTACGTCGCAAAATATATTTGTCGTAACATCGTTCTTCTCAGCATCTACGATGATCTCCTTTCTTCGTTATTCGTCGCTCGTTATCATTCGTTCGCCGAGATCTTTTCCTTTCATCCACTTGCCGCTCCTTTTCAATGGGCAACGCTGCTGGTTATTTCACTTCGTGGCAAAAAGATTTTGTTTCATGCTTCTTTAAAACGTTCCAGACGGTAGCGTATAACCACGACAAGATCTAATGTCTCCATCAAAATGTTACTTGCGTTCATGAAATACAACAAAATTTATGAGAGTGCTTGGATTAAGCACACTGCTCGCAATTCCTTACCAATGATTATCACTCAAAAAATGTGTAGTATGTATATCCTCGCTCTTTCACGGTCTTTCTTATTACTTATTCATGCCGAATCTTGATTATCTTCTTCGTAACAGGAAATAGAAGCCTTCGACGGGTAATGGTTTCTCAATTCCAAAATTATTTCTTTACATGAATACGCTTCATCAATTCTTCCCGCGAAAACGAAACGATTAGTCGCAGCTACCGCAAAATAATGCTACTTCCCTTAATGCACTTTATGATTGCTTCGTTTATTGCTCTTGGGATTTAACACGAAATCACAGAAGATCACTGATGTGTGTGCACAGGGGAATTTGCGCGCCGTGTTAGACAAGCTTTAATCCTTCTTAACGCCGTCAAAGCTGCGGTGAGGAAATCCTTAGTTGCCTACGCAGCCACAAAAACAGAATCAACAATATTTATTTTAACAACGTTTCTCGACACATTTCATGCAACTACATTAGATTACGTGAGATTCGACAACTCTGACGCAAACTTTAATATGCCCATACCATACATGTCATTTACGCACAATGCCGTTATGCGTTTTATACACTTGTATAATCTCGATTGTCAAGTCCTGACGCGTCCTGAATCAGGACTCCAGCTGCAGATGCGTCCGGCCGCGACAATGAACCTGTCGAATCGTAGGCCAGAGCTATGATCGCGCGCCGAGCGGACGGCGAGACGGGAGCATCTTTTGGCCTTTCGCGACGTCGCCGTCGCACATAAGATTGATCGCGTTCGGCTTTTCTGATTCCTCTCTCCCTCTCTCTCTCTCTCTCTATCTCTCCTCCTTTAGATTATCCATCGATAACCTATCCACGGTACTCGTGTCCATTGCGATTAACAATGAAATCATTTCTCGCACGCCACGTTCATGATCTCGTCGGTTTATCTTACAATTGACTCCAGTTAAAGCTTCGGCTAAAGAGCGATCAAGCGGTACGGCTTACTTGCATGCGCTCAACGAAATTGTCTGGAAGTTGTCTCAGGTACAGACACGTGCACATATATACTGCCGAGTTTGCCAAGTTAGAAAAAAAAAGTAATTTTTCGCAGACCCAAAGGAATCGCTCCGCTTGCGGTCGCTTGTAGCTTTCGCGCATGAAACGTCAGTAGAGTTTCTCTTTTTTGCGCAATATAACGAAAAACGGTTTTTCTTCAGAACGGCGATTTCACTTATCATCTTTCTCCACGTTAGGACGTTTTGAATTTTTGCCAAGTCCCCCTTCCGCATCACTTTATATTTCCAGATTACTTAATCATCTATCACAATATGCACCATCATCGATAAAAGATTACCTGTGAAATAATTTTTCTGGATCTCTTCACTGATGAACTCGCCGAAACCGCACAATTTCTTTCCTTCCCTGCCCCCCCCCCCTCTCTCTCTTTCTCTTTCTCGCTGAGATAATGAATTATCAACGTATGATATTTAAACACACATGCACACGGTCGCACGATTCAATTTACCGCACCCATTTGGAGCAAGCAATTATCACGTAGCGTCTCTTCCACGATTCATTTCACCGAGATTTTCTCGGTGGCGAGTTGCCGCTAGAGAGCCGCGCGCGCGAGGAACGCAAACACAAAAATGATCGACGTGCTGTCGATGGGAAAAAAAATCAGTAGTTGATTAAAGATCGGAGCGACGACGACACCGGGATATTACATCGAAAGTCACCGTCGCTGTCACGGCGTGCCGTGCACTGTTGCGTGTCCACGAGACCTTGACGGACTGACCGTCGCGGGCGTCGCGCCGGTACGATGCGCGACGTACGATCACTTGGCCGATCTCCCACGCGGCCGGCACGATCCATTCGATATGCGACGCGCGCGATTTGTTACGCGCGATCACGCGATCACGAGGGTCGCGTGTCGTGACCCGGGACGCGGAAGCGCGCGTGCTTGCTCTCAGGGCGACAGCCCGCAACCAACTGTGGCTCCTTGCCTGCCACCTCGTAGTTCAGCCACCCTCCGCAACCCCGAGCAGGGGTGGCCTGGCGCTTCTGCACGCGTTTGGCGCAGTTGGCGCGCACGGACTACCAGACGCGCGTTCTTCTCTCCCGTTTCCGCGACCCCGGCAATCGCTCTCTTCCTTTCTCTTTCTTCCTCCCCCGCTCTCTTTTCCCCGGTCCGGCAGGTGCCCGCACCTGCTCACGACCGGGACCGGGAGAGCAGGTCACTTTATCCTCGCAATCTTTTTTCCACCCCACGGCTTGTCGAGATAATCTCGCTTGGAGAGATTAATCATCCTCCCACTAAAACACAGCAATGCTCAGGTGGACGAAATATGAATTTCGAAAAGTTTATCTAAAAGGTAACCAAATATGCTACAAAAGTTTGTAATTTTTATTAAGAGAAAGAATGCGAAATTGTAGAATAAAACTGTATATTTTTGTGTGTAAATTGCAGTAAATTAATATCGTACATATTACGATTAAATCACAAGGCAATAAAGGCTTGTAATTTCAACTTTTATTTTAATCTTATTATTTACTTATTAAAAAATTTAGATCTTTAGCTTTCAAGAATGGAATGATGAGCAAATAATGAATTAAAAAGTAGAAATTAAAAACACTAATTAAAAGTACGAATTGAAATTAAAAGATAAGTCTGTTTAAATATTCATACAAATTCTCATCAGAAAATGTTGAATCGTCGAAGCATTGCAGCTTTGTACAAAATTTAACGACTCTGTGCCAACTCTGTGCACAATGCTATAGCTACTTTCATTATTCGTGTTCGCGCGTGGAGCTTTTGTTAGGCTCTTATTTGAATTTCCGCTCACACACTTGCGTTTCTTCGTCCTTCTCTCTCTCTCTCTCTCTCTCTCTCTCTCTCTCGCTCACTTAACATATTGCCTTATAAATGCCCAATTGTTGAACAACGAACACGAAGAGAATAATGAAGATGAATGTGAGGAGCGTGTATCGGCGCGTGAATAATTTCTGCGCCAATTGGCTCGGAATCTTGAGCGGATATTTTGGAAGAAAGCAATTTAGACGAGGGGAGAGACTTTAATCTCAAGCAACGTTGGGGGAGGGGAAAGCTAATAAGAAAATGATCAAAAAAAAGGGGCAATAACTATGATCATTCAACTGAAACGTTCCAAGTTCACGCAAAATAAGGACATTTTTCGTCATTTGAATAGATATCGATCGCAGCGTTTGTCTTCTGAAGAGAAAGCTTCATGGTCATAATAAGAAAAATGCCCGAAACTTCAAATCAGTTTTGAAAGTGATTTCGCAGGCAATCCGAGATCCCGCGCTGCTGTGAATAATTTAGTTTAGAATAACATAATTATATTTAACTTATTTAACTGTCGTAATAAATTACGATCTGCAAAAGAGAATTAGTTCGAAGGCGTTTCTCAAATTGTCACATTTTTAATAAGAGAATATTTCTAGTTTTTCTGTTTTTCGGTTTTTTCAATCGTTTAAGATAAAAAGACAAAATAATGTTCCATATGTTAATTTCAATAATTCATTAATTCATATTTCAATTCATATATGTAGATAATCAATTCGCTTCTGCTGAAACTATTTAACTGATTTGTCATCGTATAAAAAAAATACATACGAATCTGTATAATTTCCAATATTTTAACAAACAAATCCGTTTTGTAGAAACGGATAAAGATAAGAAAAAAATGTACGAGAAGGATAGTAAACATAGTTACAAGAATATAATTGACTACAGTGTCTATGAAATGTGCCCAAAATTAATTGATGTTTATGTACCAGAATATAAAACGAGAATCAGCTCTTTTTTCGTACCTGGATAAGAACGAAACCTTCTGATACACGCGATGACGCTGTGTTTGCGGAACACAACCACCGTGAATACACGCATTCGAACAATAATTCGCTTGTTCGATTGATTTCGACGCCCCACTTCGTCCAATACATGACGTCGCTACTGTGTACTCACGTCCGAACGCGGGATATGTTTGCGCGCAAACCTGCAGCTAACTGCACAAACATTTCAACCGTAACATGGCCCGATCGACAATCGCGCCTAGTCATCTTCTTGCATTAATATTCGATAGAAAATATTACATATTTTTATTAATGGAATCTATATCTGTAAAGTATATGGAAAATAATTAAAAAAGATCTTATAATTTTCTCTATAAAAAACAATCAAAAATCGATTTCCTATCACCTAATAATTATTTTATAAAACTAATAATTATAATTATAATAGTTCTTATTGTATGCGGATATACTTTTGATAAGCGAATGTTTTTTGTAATTGTAGACGCGTTTGACCGCGAACGAGGTTAAAGATTAAATTTTTCGATATCGTCCCTCAAGAAGAGAAAACTTTTCCATTTTAACTTGTTCTTTGTTCTTCCATTCATGGGCAACCTGTGACCTTATAACTCGGGGAATAACCGGGCGTTTACAGCGTCTAACAAACACGTATTCGCGTCGATGCAACGTTCAACAACAGGAGGAGGCTGCTTCCCGCAGTGAATAAATTTCGTTATTCGCGTTTGGGATTCGTGGGAAAATAGATCCTGCATTCCACCGACGCTATCACGATGCAATACGCCGATGGAACGAATGCAAAGTTATATGCAAACAAATGCATTTTCGGCGTGCCGTACTCCGATGCAGGAACGTTCGGCAATTTGTTTACGCGCAACTTGCTTTAAATTCGCGTAAAGCTTCGTGTTAGATTCGATGGAATGTGGACTGAAACTCGCCCGCTATTTGAGCAATTCGCTCGCCATTACGAACGCTGTTTGCGGCGCTCTCTTAATATCACTATGAGCTTATGAGCTCAAGTAAGTAATGCTTGTCCAATAAATGGCACCTAAAGAAAGGATTGTAGCAACCTTTTGGTAACTATGACAACGAGCTGTGTGCCAATCAATAGGAAAAGAGGATTACGTTAGCCCGCGCACGTCTTTCGTCCACTAGCTCTCCCGATAGTTTCTTGTTAGGTATTGAACTTCAAAAGACCAGTAAGAGTCAGATTTGGTCTAAAGTAATCATCCGCGCAACATCGAACTAATAGTTTGAAATCTGTCTGCAAAAAGTAGATAAAGGTGTCAAAAATATATAGATATATATTACTAATAATGTTAAAATATTTTATAACAAAAGCGGGTAACATTGTTTTCAACATAATCTCCTTGTTTTTCAATATATCTGGTGCATAAGCTTCGTTATGAATAAAATGAATAAAATGTTTTTGATTGGTTTCTCAGCTACGTATGGGACTCTTTCATATTTTAGTCAATGACATGAAATCGTATTCTATGTATATACGTCTATGTATATTCCATTTATATATTCTATAGACGTATAGACATTTTGAGATCTGTTATAAGACAATCAATTCATTTGTTATTTATATGATAAATGATGTGGTTTCTTCGGAGGCAATTTCAGTATAAACATTCAAGTCACGATCGTACGAGAGCAGAAATATATAGGTATACGAGATTCGTGCCGGATAAACCCTCAATTGAAGATCGTATTGCAGCGAAGGATAGAATATAGAAAAATGTTAACATTCTGGAAAAAATATCTTTCTCAATTTTAATTTTTAATTTATTCAGTGTTTTCGATTTTGTGCATGCCTATGCCTACAATGTGAGATAATTATATCTTTTGTGAACATTTCAAAAACGATAATATACATTTTTCAAATCTAAATTTCTCATTAATTTGAATAAAATAAATCTCATTTCTATTCAATTAAATAAAAAAAAATAAAAGCGAAAAGAAAAAAAATAGGAAATATTTCGTCTTATTAAACTGAACAAATTTCATATCTGTATATATTATAAAAATAAGATTCCATCTGAGCTTTGTTAATCTTTGGTAATCGTTTTCAAGATATAGTGAAATACATTCGTATCGCATCGTTTAATTTTAGAATTATCCCTATTAATGAATATGAGTTTCAACTTAACGGAAATAAATCTCAACTAACTCCGAAGCAACTTTCTTATGAGATCGTGAAACTTGTGCCGTCGTCATTAATGCTACAATATTTCGAACCAACTGAACCTGACAATATCAAATATATCCTAGTCAGAGAACGCAGGCGAACCTTATCGACGCAAAGTTTCCAGTCTCGTGCCCTCGAAAAAGGGTTCCGGCCTTAATCGCGACGAGTTTGGCCATGTCGCTTAGTCGTATGCATTTCTACGGAGTTGCCTCGACTTCTGTACACTTCAGTCTACGCTTTTCCACCCCGGCAACACCCACGCACCTGGCAACGATCTCTTGTAAATCCGTTGAACCCAGTCGCTATATCTTCTCGAAAAGATAAGTCGGTGC